TATCTGCTCCAACGTTAATGAGATCGTGAACGGCACAAATATCGCCTAGCTTGCAAGCAAGAGCCAGTGCTGTCTCCCCAGTGGAGTTGGACTGAATGTTTATGGCGTCTTCCTCTGACAAATATTTGGTAAGCCCATGACGGACGGCGTAGTGAGCAAGATAGAACGGTGTTTGGATATAATTCTCAATGTTTTGGCGCGTATGATCTTCTGCTATTTGTTTTAACTCGTCGTATGTGAGCGTCGTTGTAGATGGTATGGCATCCAAATAATCAATGTCAAGTCTACGGAAAGCATCACGAGTAATCCCTGTGTATCGCTGATGGCTTTCGAGGGGACTAGACGTACAGTCATTGATATATGTCTCTGTGATAAGCTGGCGCAAGGTTCCAGCATTGGGGGAACCTTTATAACTACTTTTCGTCGCCCATTCCAAGGCTTGATCAGTGTCAATATTTGTACCGAATCCTAGAAGATATGCAAGGGATACATGAAATGCAGCTTGAGCTATGATAAACTAAGTTAGCATGGCTGTGTAATGTTCCACGACCGTGATATAACCATAATTGTTCCACAACCTACCTGAAGCAATGGATCTCCCAGCCTCTGATCCTAGCCTATGACAATCGTTCAAGATTTGCTCCTTCACGACATGGGGGATTTGAGCAACTTGAGCAGGTCGAAACACCTAGCTTCATCAGCCAAAATTCGTAGAAGTGTTCCACGAGCGAGAGCGATTCACCTCAAACGACCATTCAGCTGACTTCCCTGAAGACTGACCAAGCCTTGATCTCTCTGTGCCAGACCTAAAAGTTGAGTCATTAGCATTTCGAGATATGGGATGGGGTCGTCCCAATACATACTTGTTCTTGAGAAGTAGGGGTAGCATAGGAATATCAGCCACTCTCTTGTCCGGGTCCACGTCTAAGGTTGCTTGGAATAGATCTCGAAGCTTCCCTTTTTCGAAACTGTAAAGATCTCCGACAGTTTCGGAGTCCAAGAACTCGGTTGCGACTTCTTGTAATCGGCTGGAGAGTGTGGATAGGCTCCCCAGAATACTTTCAGTGGTAGATAATGTACCTTTGCTGGTAGATGTGGATCCTTTGCTAGCACTAGCAGAATGATCAGAGGTAGATCTGGAGTCCGTCTTGGTAAATGCTATGAGATCTTGAATCCGAGAGCTTTTGTAGTATGGAGAGCCATGATCTAATGCTTCCCAGCATAACAGGCCCAGTGACCATACATCACATTTTCGAAAATTCAAAGTCTCGCTTTGAAGGCCATAGCTCCTCGCTATTTCAGGGGCATTGTATGCTAAAGTACCCCCATACTTTTGATCATCCTTTGCATCATCATCCTCGTAAAGCAACAGGGAATGTCCAAAATCGGAAATCTTAGCAACCACAGACTGTGACAAGCCTTGAGGTCCCGATTGAGCACTGGTATGAGTTGTCACGAGAACATTATCGAGCTTCAAGTCACCATGGGCCATGCCACAAAGATGGAGTTCATGAAGCCCCCGAGCAACGTTGACACACATCAAGAGTCTATCCCTGGAGGGTAGGTTGTAGCGCCGTAAATAGTCCCGTAGGGTACCACTTGATGCATACTCAGTGACCAGGAAAGGGATGGACCCGCTTCCTCTGAAGTTCCAACCATAGCCAAGAATATTCAACACATTCTCATGCCCAGCCAAAGGGCTATGAGACATTACCTGGAGCCAGAGAATTAGCATAACTCTGATGCCACATGATTAAGCAAGACCGGTACCTCGATATCACGCAAGACACACGCAACCTGCCTGTCAAAGGCTTCTTGGCTTGAGGCTGACGGCAGTTTTATCTGCTTTACAGCAACAACCTTACCGGTCGACCTCTGGAGGCATTTGAAGACCTTGTAGGACACTCCCTCGCCGAGCCATTTTTGCTCTTGGAGGGTATGCCCCTGGACGAACTCGAGACCCAGAGGTCGGATAGTTCCTAAAAGCTCCTGTAGAGATCTGATCTGACGTTTATTTGGTTGCGAGAAGCCTCCTACGCTGGAGAGGAGGGTTCGATCTCCAGCAGTGAACCCAGCAGTGAACTTAGCAGAGAAATGTAGTTAGCTACCATAATGTACAGTACAATTACAGTACAGTACGCGTTGGGAGAGGGGGTGGGTTCGGGCTGGACCGCTGCGGGCCGGGACCTTGATCTGCGGAGTAGCGCTGAAAAGAAACGTAGGTATTTACCTCAAGAGAAACACCCTCAAGGGACGCCATGTCTCGATGTGGATGCACACATCAACAAAAACACAAATACCATGAGCAAGCCATCTCGAGAATCGAGGCTGCTTGCCTCTTTGCACGTTCTCGCCATGGAGACGCTAGGCTTGTGGTGGCCACTCTGGAGTCTGGACAACCTCAGCCGCACATTGGGGTCCGCGGTGGTACTGCACCTGATTTCAGTGGCGGTCTTGTAACCCCAGAGAAGTTCGCGCCGTAGTCGCTATCTTGACAGCCTGTCTGCAGAGCGACTTTCTTGGTTTGGAAGGCAGAGGCAGAGCGTTCTCTTGCGGAACGGAAAGATGCTCGATCCACTATCCATCGCAGGATTAACTATCGCGATATTTGATCAGCTCTTGAAGCTGGGCGAAAGAACTTGCCAGCTTATCGCGGATGCAAAGACGTTTGATGATGTGAGCCGCCTTCCTCGACCCTCAATGTCTCTCCATGTCTCACAAAAGCTGGCACTGTTTGTTCTCATCCGATATCTCGGAGCCCAGCTACCTACACATAATGTTTACTAATTTGCGCTTTGCTTTGCTTAGGATACAGATGCCCTTTACGACAAGCTCAAGGATGAGAACAATCGCTCACGGCAGCTAAGACATTTACTTTTCGAAAGCTCCCCAATATACGGCGGCAGAGCGCTCTTCGAGCAATTCGACGAAGATGTCCAAGACCAAATCAAAATCTTCTTGGGTCGCTTGGTGAGCATCCTGCATGAGGGGTATGAACTCCTATATAGGCGATATGGCACAAGTGGGATGAGCGTTAGGAGCCCATCCCCTCAGAGTTCGATATCCGATATGTCCACGGCCCAGAAGAGCTCTAGTACTCTTAATTTGCTCAAGACGTTTCCCAAGTCTTCCATGCTGGTTCTTAGATGGTCCTTGCGTGACAAGAAAAGAACCGAAGAGGTGCTCAGCAACTTCACGGATTTGAACAGTCGAATCCACGAGAATATAAAGCTGTGGAGTTTAGCAACGTCTATAGGACTAGACGTCCAGCATCTTGAGCGGCTAAAGAATGACCAGTATTCTATTGACTTAGGTTTCAACGTGGACGCCACTCTTCAAATTGCTGCGGGCGATGCTCAAGCAATTGGTGGCACAGTGGAGTTGGCCGAGCAAGAATGGATTGATGCGATAAATGCCTCGAAACCCGTGGAAGAACGTTTTGGTTTAATCCAGCTGAATGGCATGAGATATCTCCAGGAGAACCGGTCTTACGATGAGCATCGACATGGTTCCTCTACGGAGATAGACTTACGAACTAGGGATCGAGTAGATGGCCTGGCAAAGTTGCTCCAACATCCCAAAGAACGGGTGTTCTGTATTCCTAGATGTGTCGGCTGGAAATATGTTCCAGCCGCACGGCGCATTGCATTTGCATTTGAGATTCCTACCAATTTCACCACAGAGCCTGTGAGCTTGCGCCGATTGCTTGATGGAACGGATAAACCAGAACTTGGGGATAAGTTCCAATTAGCATTCGGTCTTGCAAGATGCATCGCACAGCTACAAATGGTAAAATGGGTATGTGTATGAAGACTTGAAGAGCAAAACATCTAGCTAACAAGACCAGGTGCATGAAAGTTTTCGTAGTGAAAATATTCTGTTCTTCCCACCAGAGAAGGATAAAGATTGCAAGAAAGTCTCATCCTCGAGTATTGATTACTCACAGCCCTGGGTCCTTGGGTTCGAATACAGTCGCCCAGAAGCAGACTTCTCTCTAGGGGTCACGGATGTTTGCCTTGCCCGGGACATCTACCGCCATCCAGTCCGTCAAGGCCAGCCCGGTATGATGTTCAATAAGATACATGATATTTACGCACTTGGTGTAGTCTTACTAGAAATCGGGCTCTGGGAAGCAGCGATCACCTTGGAGAAGAATCAGTTCAAGCACGCACGAGACCCCTACGTGATCCAGGCGCAACTCCAAAAGCAGACAATGCGAAGATTGGGAGCAAGAATGGGAGAGAGATATAAACAGGTTGTGTTGAAATGTCTGAGCGGTGACTTTGGCGTCGTAGATGACACTAAAGAGGATTTGAAGCTCCAACAAGCATTTCGAACTCAGGTTGTTGACGTTCTCGAGAGGGCCGCAGCAAATGTGTGACTTCGGTGGATTCAGGAGCATAGTTCCCAATCCAAATATATGAAGGAACTCACACCTCAGTGTTAGCAGACCAAAATGCGAACCATTCGTAAGGGGCTACCTTTACGCGCACGGCGTTAGTCAACATCTTTTATGATTATGAAACACATAGATGGAAAGCCTTGACATCAACCATCTACTCCAAGGATTATCTTTAATTCAAAATGTGCGTAGACCTTCAGACAACTTTCAGCACTGGTGGTGGATTTTAAGGAATCCGGGTGGGGCCAATTCTAGACACGTGGTGGGACGGGAAAACGGGGTTTCGTAATCTCCTACTCCGGTCTTATGTCTCTCAAAAGACAACAATGTCCACGACACGACGGACATTCCATTTTTCCTGTTCCCGTTTGTGTATTTACGGGGAATTTTGGTCTTGATGATGGTGTTTCCTGCGGCTTCACCGACGAGTTCGACTCCGACGACTAATCGGGCCTGCCAAAACTGTGCTAGAGCCAAGGCAAAGTGCAACCCACAAGGTAATGGTACTGGAAATCAATGCTCAAGGTACGCAGCCTCGTGAGTATAAGAATTGTGATAGTTATTAATGCAAATAAAGATGTTTCCGTTTAAAAAAAGAATGTGCAGTTCTGCCAAGAAGTGCTCGGAAAAGGAGGTCCCCTACTACCGCCACGTGAGTATAATTTCCGAATTAATGCTTTTCAAAAGCAGTGTCTCCCCAGTGTTTGATCGGAGTTCTTTGAAGGCAATAAACAGAACAAGCTACCGTTACCAGATTGAATGGCATACAAGATATCATAATGTTTCACAACATAACTTATGTCATAACCTATTGACTGACTGAACCAGAAATACGGCTCAATTGGAAGAAAAGATCGAAAGTCTCGTCAATCTGCTTGCCGCTGCACATAGTGCTACGGTTAAGTCAGATGAGGTGTCCCCGGCTCAAAACTCGGATCAGTCTATTCAATCCACACCGTCCGATAGTCATATTCCTCCAGCTTCTCTGTACAATCTCGAAGCCCCTATTCCGAACCGGGGAAGCTGGGCCACACCGACGCAAAGCCAACTGCCGGTCCACGATGTTTCATCTATGCTTGGGGGGTCTGGATGTATTCCGAATATGCCATCTAGACCAGCACCACAGCCTTCCACAGGTTACGTGCCGCTTATTTACAACACGATACAGGATGAGGAAGACTTGCTACGTGTGTACAAGGAGCAATTTGCCATTCGTTTCCCCTTCATCATCCTCCCACCCCACACTACATCGTCCGAGTTACGTGCACAGAAACCTTTTCTGCATCGAGCCATCATGCTGGTGGCCTCGAATCGAAAACGTATGCAACAGATTGAGATGGCAAAACAGTTATCAATGGATATTGCTGGGGCCTTGATTCTAAAAGGAGATAGGAGCCTGGATATGCTTCAATCACTGGTTACTTATAACGCCTGGTGAGCCAGACCTACTCCTAATGCCATGACCTTAAAAGGCCCTTCGTTATATTTGCTGCTATTCCCTGATTATTTCGACTTACTTTTAGAAGGTCGTACTTGTATTCACCAACAGTACCCCAGGCACAGTCTACGGCTATGTTTCAGCTTTCTTTCGCATTGATATTCGACCTCGGTATTAACCGTCCCGTTGCTAGTATTGAAGGCCCAGAAGGGGTATGTGTATCTTTCTCATAACGGTGCATCCTGCCATGAGTGTGTCGTAACTGTTGATTTCTCAGCTGCGTGCGGAGAACTGCCGATTGAGATACATCTAAGAACTCAGGAATTATTTTTTGAATTCTACTAACTCTTAATCTTGGTATGTATGTAGTTAGTCGATCCCTCCAGAAACGTTGTCGAGATCAATCCAAAAGAAGCAAAGCGAACTTTAGATGAACGCAGGGCCTATATCAGCTGCTATATCTTAACTTCAGTGTAAGTCTTTGTATTTTGCCACAAATATTTATTTCATGGCTAAGTCTATCCAGTGTTGCTTTATATGTAAAGAAGACGGACGGCTTGCAATATTCGCCATACATGGATTATAATTGCAGGGTGCTAGAAGAAACAGCCGCGTGCGAATCCGATCTTCTCCTTGTCGCTATGGCAAGGCTGCAGACTATGGCCGAATCATTTTACAAGAACATCTTGAACAAAACTCAAGACTCCATCAAGACCCCAGCTTGGATGTATACAAGGACTATGCGAACCGGATTGCACAGTCTATGGATGTCTTTCTCCCCGCAACTTCGACAGAACCGTCAGTATAGCCTTTCATGCACCCACTTATACCCATTTCCTAACCCTCCTTGAACAGCGTTCCTCATCATGAACTATCACAGCACCGAAATTTTCCTTTTTGAACCCGCCCTCCAACAATCCCCCGTTGCCGTTGGCTTCGTAAAAGACGAACCGCATCGGTTAGACATGCTCCATTCATGCCTAACATCGTCAAAAGCCCTCTTAGATCTATTCCTCACCCAACCCCTCTCGGTCTACTATACCTTGACATCCATAGACCTCGCAAACCTCGGCCAATCAATGGCGACCATCTTCAAGCTTTCCATGGTCGACGAGCCTGGCTGGGACCTCACTTATGTTCGCAAGACAATCAACCCTCGCGATTACTTTGATCGCATGATAAACAACTTTGAACATGTTGGGAGAATAATCGACCAGAGCCAGCCAGAGCCCTGCAGGCACTCCTTTCCGACCGGGTGCGCGAATGCTATGAAGAAGATTAGAGGGGTGTATGAGGCTAGGATGGCGGCGGAAACGGCACAGGACACTTCGCAGGAACAGACGAATTCGTTGGCGTTGGATGGCTTGCTTAATGGCGATCAGATGATTGATTGGATGGATGATGCTTATTGGCAGGACTTGTTGAATGATGGAAACTTTATGCAGTGAAGGATTTTGTAACTGTAACCGCACTTGTATTATGTAGTATATATTTCGCTCCGATCAAGAGACATTAGACCTCGAAGGCAATCTGCTTGCAATTCCAACTCGGACTTTCTTACTGGCACGACAGACCCGAGCATACTGGAGACTTCGGTCCCAAACCCCAAATAGAAACCACAAGATTCAACAGTCTCCAAGGAGGATGTCAAAAAGTATTCTGATATTCCAGGAACGACCAAGGGCTCGCTTACCGAAAGGGGGCGGGCCCCACCCTCGTGGAATTTCAGCCTGCGTTTTGTACAGACTTCGGAATTGAATCTCGGGGCTTGGCACTAGTAAGCTGTACTGGTAACGCATTCTGTTCGTTGAAGTTGGTCGAATACTCAGACGCCTGATGCGTGGGCGTCGACGGCATGCATGCGCAAGCGACTAACACTGATGTACAACACATGGCTGCAAATCCAACATACAGTAATGATCTGTCGACTGGACATAATAGTGAAACTGCTCATGAAAGGATATTCAACTCATCGTCAAGTCTTATTACGAAATGAAAGAAGAACCCCGCCAATCATCTCGACTACAACCTCAGAATGCGAGGTATCTTCGTCTTCACATCCACTTTCGTAGCTTCCTTCACTTCCTCTTTCCTATCAACTTCCACTACCACAATCTCCTCCTTCGCCGTGTCATCTACAGTCTGCAGCTTCCAAGCCGTCAAGAATCTCTCTTTCAAATCCGGCATCTGCTTTTCCCCAGCAGCTACATCCAACGCACCCGCTACACTTGCCCCAATAGCAACCCCAGCACCTCCCAATCCAGTCGCCAAGATTCCACCCACAGCTGCACCACCCATGGCTGCACTCTGACACCAAGCAAACAGGCTTCCGGCTTCAATGAGACCCACGCTGGCCTGCCAACCTGCTGCCGCGGAACCCGCAGTTGGTCCCAGAGCTCCGAATCCAATAGCACCTAGAACGGGCAATGCTGCGAGAGAAGCTATAGATGCTACACCTCCGAGTACTTGGAAGCCAAAGAGGATGGGGTGCTTCTGAACATATTTGACGAATTTCTCGCGGATGTTGTCTAGTGGAACGTTAGCTCGAGAAGAAACATAGTGCGTGACGGATTATGAAAAGAGGGATCATGAGGGGAAAGGTCGAGAGAAGTAGGGAAGTAGTGACGTGGAGGCAGCTCTAGGTGCAACGAGAACAATTAACAACGAAGGAATTTACCATTCCCACGAGCTCCAAGCAATTGCTTCGCGATATCCGGACACCAGCAAGCTAGAATCCTCACGGCCCTTGACAATTCCCACACGTCATCCGGAAACTCCCCTTTAGCGTAACGAGTCCGAATTGTCTCATCGTCCAACTCAGCAAAGAGCGTGTTGCCAGAAATGAGTTCATAGAGAATGCAACCCAGCGCAAATAATTCGGTGCGCTTAATCTGTTCTTCAATAGGACTAATCTTGTCAATGACCGACTTAGGAATTTGATACCGAGCTGGATATGTCCTAAGCTGGGCCTTTTCGTCCGTGGTATCTGATGAGTCGTTAACGAGGATGTCGATTGAACTGTCACGTTTCAGGATGAGATCGAAGTCGCGAACTCTGGCTGATCGAACGGCTTTTGAGGCTCCCAGGAAAGCTTCGGTGACCTCTTTGACCCATTTCAAACGTGTCTCGGTATTGATCTCGTTGCCGTTGGTGTGCTCGAGCAAAGGTAGGTTTGCTGACGCTGACGTTTCCGAGTCCGCGTGATCAGGCTGTACGAAGACGAGGCCCTCTTCAGACGCCATTTGTTCCTCTTTGATATCTGAACTTGGTTCAATGCGAATGCGGCACTGAGCATTATTCGACGCCATATTTCCGATGCGATTATTAATGGTCGGAAAGTTGAAAATGCTAGTCCGTGGTTGAAGTTGAGGATGTCGATGGAGGTTGCGAGTTTCGTTCGTCATCCCGTTTGGTCACACAAACGCTCCACCAGGTTCCATCCAGAACAAGGCTGCCTGCCTGTGTTGGAATTGATGGTTTTGTTCAACTGACTATATCCGTTGCATGCTCTTGCCTCTATTGTTATTGTTACCTGGAGACTTCCACAGATCAGAAGAAATGAGGCATATGAATAATAATAGATTATAAGTCTCTTCTTGAAATATTGCCCCAATATCTAATTTGCTGAAGAGCCAGCTTCATCTTTAGCGAATGACACGCTCCAGGATTCAGAGCTGCAGATTAGAGCCCAGTATTATTCGAGTTTGAGCTACGTCTAGTACCTTTGGAGAAGTGAGATTGTCTGAAAATAGCAAGCAGTAGGATGAATGAGTTGAAAAGATAAAACTCGAAATATGAGCCGGAGCGAAGTCATAATTTGAAGAGACCGTGCACGTGCCTTGGTAGCCTTGATTTTAGTACCCTAGCCTTGCATGATTAACACTAAAACTTCTGGTCCAAGGTCTAACAAGGCGACGCCACACAGCAACAGCCACACATCAATTCAAGCCTTGGAGCCTGAGCCTGGTCACGGTCACGGTCACAAGAATTCAAGAGCAACAGCAGTCTCAGTCTCAATCTCAGTCTCTCCTGGCCTGCATCTGCATCTGTCAACATGAGGTTCAATATCGAGTGTGTATCTATCTTGGTCGCTCGCCTGAACGCAAAGCAGAGCTGATGTTGACCACTCTAGTGATTTACCCGTCTTGTTCCCTTACCCAAGGATATATCCAGGTCAGCTAGGCATGCAGAGACTCAAATGCGACCCAGATGCTAACCTTTCTTCGCAGAACAATATGCGTATGTCACTAATCCTTCCTCTTGTATGAGGCCTCGTTAACATTCTGTGAAATTAAAGCTACATGTGTGATCTCAAGAGTGAGTTCCAGCCCGGCAACTCATGGAGCCCTTGCTCATAAAACATCACAGAAACGCTCGATGAAGGGGGGCACTGCGTCTTGGAGATGCCTTCTGGGACAGGAAAGACTGTGTCTCTCTTGTCCCTGATCGTCGCATATCAACAGTACTACCCAGAACACCGGAAGCTAATATATTGCTCTCGTGGGTGACCCTACTTGCATCCCGAAGGCTCGCTTCTCTGACAGCCCAAAGGTACCATGTCTGAGATCGAAAAGGCTTTGGCAGAATTGAAGGCCTTAATGAAGTATCGGGAGGAACAGCTCGGGCACAAAGAAGACTTTCGAGGCCTTGGTCTGACGAGTCGAAAGAACCTGTGTCTTCATCCCTCAGTAAAACGAGAGAAGAGCGGTGCAGTAGTCGATGCTCGATGCCGTAGCTTGACAGCTGGTTTTGTGAAAGAGAAGAAGGAGAGAGGGGAAGATGTGCCCGTGTGCATTTACCATGATGTATTTGCTCTTTTCCATCATGATATTACTCACTAACAATACTAGAACCTCGACCTTTTAGAACCTCACAATCTTGTTCCAAATGGGGTCTGGACACTAGATGGGATTATGAGATATGGTGAAGAGCATAAACAATGCCCATACTTTACGTCTAGGCGAATGGTAAGTTCTGTTCAGCTCCCACATGACTTCTGTTGACACTTAGAAAGATGTCATTCTGCAACGTTATCATTTATTCGTACCATTACCTCCTCGATCCTAAAATTGCGGAAAGGGTATCAAAGGAACTTTCTAATGACTGCATAGTCGTGTTCGACGAAGCACATAACATAGACAATGTGTGTATAGAATCACTTAGCACTGACATCACAGAGGATTCCTTACGTAAAGCAACCCGAGGAGCACAGAATTTGGAGAACAAGATCTTGGAAATGAGAGATAGCGATGCAGACAAGCTCAAAAATGAATATGCAAAGCTTGTGGAGGGGTTGAGGGATGCTGATGAAGCTCGTGAGGAGGATGCCTTCATGTCAAATCCAGGTCAGAATAACTTGGTTTTTGCAAGCTTTCTGTATTAATATCCTTTTAGCTCTTCCAGACGACCTTCTCAAAGAGGCTGTTCCCGGCAATATCCGGAGAGCAGAGCACTTTGTTGCATTTCTAAAGCGTTTCGTCGAATATCTAAAGGTACTATACAATGAATCCCAATCCGCTTTAGGCGCATCTCTAACATCACATTAGACTCGAATGAAAGTCCGTCAAGTCATTTCTGAGACACCTCCTTCATTTCTTGCACATCTTAAAGAATACACCTTCATAGAGAAGAAGCCTTTGAGGTTTTGTGCAGAGCGGTTAACATCTCTGGTCCGAACACTGGAATTGACAAACATCGAAGACTATCAACCCCTTCAAGAAGTTGCAACTTTTGCAACCCTAGTAGCAACATATGAGAAAGGGTTTCTACTTATTCTCGAGCCCTACGAATCAGATACGGCTGAAGTGCCGAACCCCGTCCTCCATTTCACATGTTTAGATGCCGCCATCGCCATTAAGCCCGTCTTCGACCGCTTCAGCTCTGTCATCATCACATCCGGAACCATCTCGCCGCTAGAAATGTACCCAAAGATGCTTGGGTTTGAAACGGTTGTTCAAGAATCATATAGTATGACCCTTGCTCGACGTTCCTTCTTACCGATGATCGTCACCCGAGGCTCAGACCAAGTCGCCATCTCTTCCGGATTCCAAGTCCGGAATGAACCATCAGTCGTCCGCAACTACGGCAATCTGCTTACCGAGTTCTCGAAGTTGACACCAGACGGCATGGTTGTGTTCTTCCCTTCATATCTATACATGGAGTCCATCATTAGCATGTGGCAGGGTATGGGTATTTTGGACGAAGTATGGAAATACAAGCTCATCCTGGTCGAGACGCCTGATGCACAAGAGACATCTTTGGCTCTCGAGACTTATCGTACAGCATGCTGCAATGGGCGTGGCGCAATCTTGCTATGTGTCGCAAGAGGAAAGGTCAGTGAGGGTATCGATTTCGACCACCAATATGGGCGGACTGTGCTCTGTATAGGCGTACCATTCCAATACACCGAATCCAGGATATTGAAGGCTCGTCTCGAGTTCTTGAGAGAAACGTACCGGATCCGAGAGAACGATTTCTTATCTTTTGACGCGATGAGACATGCAGCCCAATGTCTGGGTCGTGTCCTGAGAGGGAAGGATGACTACGGCATCATGGTTTTGGCAGATAGGCGGTTCCTGAAGAAGCGAAGCCAGCTGCCGAAGTGGATCAATCAGGCGCTACTAGATAGCGAGATCAATCTCAGTACAGATATGGCTGTAGGGTCTGCAAAGAAGTTCTTGAGAGGTATGGCCCAGCCATTCAAGGCAAGCGATCAAGAGGGGATCAGTACGTGGAGTATTGCGGATTTAGAGAGGTTCAAGGAGAAGCAGGAGGACGAGACTATCCGGGCTTTAACCGAGGCACAGAGAAATGGTGCTGACACGGGGGATGTTCAGATGGAGAATACGAGAAATGGCAATGAGGCTGCTGTGGCGAGAGATGATGAATATGGATTTAACGATGATGAATTGGAAGCCGGTATGATGGAACTGGACAACAAGTAAATTGGGCATCTAAGCGGCTCCTCAGCGAAATTGTAGCAAAATAATTTGAAATGTAAGATATTAATAAGGCATTCCATTGTTGTGAATATTGGTATTTCGTTTCATAATGCTTATGCACAGCTCTTTGCTTTCAAACCGCCCTTCATCGCCCATTTTACTTCGGCAGGTTCTTCGCCACCGTCCAAAAATTCTCCATCTTTGATCTCTGCAAAGCTTCCCTAGCAGCACTATCCGTCTCGCAGACCTTGCTTCCCCATTTTCTGAACGCTCTTGCCTTTTCCTCTCCTTCAAAGACCAATACACACTTGTTCAGAGACATATCCTTGAGCTCTCCTTTCTCGTCCTCGGCCTTCAGCCAATCTTGCAACGCTTCGGCCTTCGTGCCTTCCTTAATTCGTGTAGGCGAATTCTCGGTCCAGTCAATACGCTGAAGCATAAGCTTGCGGTATTGCCGTATACTGTACTCGCCGCCCTCGACAATCACTAAGTTGAATCGCGGGTGCATCACACAGATCCCTGTCAGAGCAAACTGCTCTGCATTCTTCGCAATCTTAAATCGATGGCTACCATTCGATAGATTGTCAATTTTAAAAACCATCAGGCGAATACCCTTCGCAGCGTCTTTTTCTTGATTTACCGCAAGTTTCTCGTGGCGTTGTTCCTTGGTCAATTTTCGTTCCTCATTCATCTCAACGTGTGTCTGGTGGCGAGCTGCGATCTCCCTGTTCACACGTGCTTCGACTGCCGTTGGGTCCTTGACGGCTTCTTCACCCAATACCCGCATAAGATTCCCCTTTTTGACTTTTGGCGGCGGTGCCGGCTCAAGGCCCAGCCGGATTTTGGCTTGCTGCTCTTTTAACTCTGCCATTCTTCGTTGTCGTCGTAATTTGGCTTGTTCCTTTGCGGTTAAGAACATGGGCTTCGGAGCAGGCATATTCTTTTCCTGGGGAGGTTCGAGGAGGACGGGATGTTGGATGTATTCGGTAATAATGGAGTCGGGGGGTTCAATCTTGAGACTTTTTGGGTTGTCAATACTGTCATAGTTTTTAGCTTCCACCAGACCTTCATCCCACCATTCGATGTCGGGGGGCGCTTCAACAAGGAAGTTCTTTTCCGTATCCAGATCTTCGTCGATACCGATCTTCCGTGATGACTCCGCAATGCGCTTTTTCATAGCCTCCAAAGCCGCCTGTCTTCGTAACGCATTTGCCTGTTGGATGTATTTGCCCTTTTGGTTGAAAATCAGCTGCCTCGAATGGCGATTCTTCAAAGTCGCTGTTTGCCCTCCCAAGCTCATATCAAAGTATGGGTTGTTCCGTGTTTCCTCCGCCGAAGGTCCAGACAGGTCGAGTTGCTTCTTGCTCTTCGGAGCAGGCTTCTCTGGTTGTGGGCGAGCATTACCAATGCTAGTTGCAAACTTCGGCGCAACAGTTTTGGATGGTTTGAATTGCCCCAGGTCTTGCAGCGCGGGATGAAGGTCGACATTTAGACCTCCCCTAGCCAGGATGGGGTGCTGAGGGACATTCAGCCCCGTATTACTCTTTGCCTTGCTACTGCCCACGGCAGCGGCGACTCGAGCTTTCAAAGAGGCCAGCTTCTCAGCCGCGGATTGGGGCTTGTCGACGCGACTTGAGGAGTCATGACGAGGGGCTAGGATGGGCGATGCCTTGCCTCGGTCCATGATGGCAAGTTAGCCCTTGTCGCAAAGTTGTGGTAGGATAAAGGAATGTGGTTTCGTAAGGGCAGCGAAGGCGATTGGTTGTGGTGGTGATGGTGGGTGGTGTGTGGTGTTTGGAAGAGGTAGGCTGGGCTGGCTTAAATTTCTTATCGTTATCCTGGCACACGTGATCTAAGTTTTTTTCTTTCTAATCGTCAAAATCATCCCGCCCGCCATCTCGAAAAGCTGAAGCTCCCTTGAACAGCAGCCTCTGGTCCTATTGCACGGCACTCCTCTGCTTGCTTTAGTGTTGGTCCTGGTCAATATGAATATCTCTCAGCCAGTTCCATCGGCCATTGGCAGCGTCGACTTTGGATTTCTCACCGCGCAAGAGATCAAAGCTCTCTCTGTAAAGAAGATAGAAAATGCTGTTACATTCGACACCCTTTTGCACCCCATTCCCGGTGGACTGTACGACCCAGCTCTCGGTTCGTGGGGAGATAATATGTGAGCTTAATCATGATATTGATATGGACATTTAACTAACTCATGGACAGCTGCACAACTTGTAACTTGAAATCCCCCGCCTGCCCAGGCCATGTAGGCCACATCAATCTTCCCGCTCCTGTATACCACCCAACATTCATGATTCAACTCCTCAGGCTACTCCGAGCGAAGTGCACATACTGTCATCTCCTTCGAATGTCGCGGAAGGAAGTCAACCGCTATCTTTGCAAACTTCGATTAATACAGCATGGACTACTAGGCGCAGCTGAAGAAGTCGAAAATATCGAAATGTCGCCCCAGAATAAGGATGGTGGAGACAGCAATAGTGAAGAGGATGCGGAATCGTCCATCGACAATGTCATTCGGCGCAGAAATGCCTTCGTAAAAAAAGCAATCAAAGCAGCGAAAGGAGCCCCGTGGGAATGGCAGCGGGAGAAAAACGAAGGCGTGGCTGATGCCCGTCGAGTTGTTGTCAAGGCCTTCCTGAAGCAAATCACTTCTAGCAAAACTTGCTCGAATTGTGGTGGCATATCACCCACTTATAGAAAGGACCGCTTCGTCAAGATTTTCGAGAAGGCTCTGACTACTCATGACAAGACTAAGATGTCAGCAGGAAGCTTCCGCGCCGTGAATCCAGTACAAATTCTACAACGGGCGAAGGACGACAAACCCGATGGCGACGTTGACGAGGGGATTGCCGACATTGATTTATCGTCGAATGATGACGAGGGAGAGGGGGATGATCTTGATGTGGACGGAGATGTAGTTATGGGTGATCCCACGCCCAAGGTCAATTCAAGCTCGAAACCCAAAGTTGCTGCAGCAGCGCAGCGATATGTCAACCCCCTGGAGGTCAAGGCTCAGCTGACACTGTTATTCGAGAAAGATCAAGAGATATTGTCCCTGGTATATGACTCTCGTTCGGCTGCGAAGAAGGCTACCAAAGTGACAGCCGATATGTTCTTCATACAAACTCTGCTGGTACCGCCAAACAAATATCGTCCAGAAGCACGCACTGGAGATGGGGAAGTGGCAGAGGCGCAACAAAACTCTCTCTACAAGTTGATTCTGAAAGGCTGCGAAACCATTGCACAAATCCACAAGGACATTGCGAATCCGGAAAGAGCCTCCGACAACTCATCGCTGCGAAAAAGAGATTGGTATGACCTCCAAGAAGCTTGGTGTAAGCTTCAAGATGCCGTGAATTCTCTCATTGACCGGGACCGCAATCCTATCCAGGGTGCGGCAGGCAAGAAGAACGAAGACGGCATCAAGCAGAAACTAGAGAAGAAAGAAGGGCTGTTCAGGAAGAACATGATGGGAAAGCGTGTCAATTTCGCTGCACGCAGTGTCATCTCCCCAGACCCAAATATCGAGACGAATGAAATCGGTGTCCCACCTGTCTTTGCGAAGAAATTGACATATCCCGAGCCTGTTACGAGTCACAATTTCAAGGATATGCAGCAAGCTGTGATAAATGGCGTCGAAAAATGGCCTGGCGCCGCAGCTATTGAGAACGAAAATGGTCAAGTTATCAATTTGCGGTCGAAAAGTCAGGATGAGCGACTAGCTTTGGCTAATCAGCTACTTGCCTCCTCAAACAATAGTGCCAACGGAGCTCGCAATAAGAAGGTCCATCGACATCTCACGAATGGCGACGTGGTACTGATGAATCGTCAACCAACTCTACATAAACCTTCCATCATGGGCCACCGTGCAAGAGTCTTACCTGGCGAGAAAACAATTCGTATGCACTACGCTAACTGTAATACGTACAACGCCGATTTCGATGGAGATGAGATGAACATGCATTTTCCCCAAACAGAAATTGCACGTGCGGAAGCGTTGCAAATCGCAGATACCGATCATCAATATCTTGTAGCAACATCAGGAAAACCACTGAGGGGTCTCATTCAAGACCATATCTCAGTATCTGTATGGATGTGCAGTCGGGACACATTTTTTGATCGTGCAACATATCAACAATTGATATATAACTGCCTGCGACCTGAAAGCGGCCATATCGTTGGAGACCGAATAGAAACTGTTCCACCTGCTATCATTAAGCCATCCCCACGTTGGACCGGAAAGCAGGTCATTACCACGATTCTGAAGAATATCAAGCCTGTTAATTGTGCTCCTTTGGTACTTACAAGCAAATCCTCAGTTCCAGGTGATCGATGGGGTACAAATGCCGAAGAAGAAGGCATGGTACGTTTCAACGGAGGAGAGTTCGTCACAGGAATTCTCGACAAGGCGCAAATTGGGCCTACCGGTGGTGGTTTCATCCACTCCATTCATGAAGTGTACGGACCGACCGCGGCTGGAAAGATGCTTAGTATACTTGGTCGGCTACTCACTAAGTTCTTGCATATGAGAGCCTTTACCTGTGGCATGGATGATCTACGTCTTACCCCTAAGGGCGAGGAAAACCGGAAGGAGAAATTGAAAGGGGCTCAGAATCTTGGTCTAGATGTGGCAGCCAAGTACGTCACCTTGTCTGACCAGAACCCGTCGGATACAGACTCGGAGTTGATGAGTCGATTGGAGGATGTACTGAGGGACGACAAGAAGCAAGCTGGCCTTGATGTGATGATGAACAAACGGTCTGGAGACCTATCTTCAGAAATCACCCTCGCATGCCTTCCTCTCGGCCTCGTAAAGCAGTTCCCAAAAAACCAAATGCAGAACATGACGGTCTCTGGTGCGAAGGGAAGCGCTGTCAATGCCAATCTCATTTCCTGTAATCTTGGCCAACAAGTTTTGGAAGGTCGTAGGGTACCTCTTATGGTTAGTGGAAAGTCTTTACCATGCTTCCGACCTTTCGAGACCAATATTCGAGCTGGTGGCTATATCGTGAACCGTTTCTTGACGGGCATCCGCCCCCAGGAGTATTATTTCCATGCTATGGCTGGAAGAGAAGGTTTGATTGATACTGCCGTCAAGACTTCAAGATCTGGTTACCTACAGAGATGTCTTATCAAGGGCATGGAAGGATTAAAGGTTGAATATGACACCTCAGTCAGGGATTCTGATGGCTCCTTGGTGCAATTTTTGTACGGCGAGGATGGTCTCGACGTAACCAAACAGATGCATCTGACGAACTTCAAATTTCTCCTCGAAAACCTCATATCCGAGCTTTCGCAGCTCAGCTATGGTGAGCAGAAATACGACACGATATTTGAGAAGAAGGATATCATACTGAAGAAGATGAAGAAGGCACTCAAATATGCGAAGGCTAATGATCCCAATGGCCCGGATCCTGTGCTTTCGTCGTTCAACCCTGGAAAGTATGGATATGCCACATCAGAGAAGTTTTTCAATTCCCTCAGAGTCTATCTTGAAACCAACCCAGACGGAATGGTTAAGGATAAGGCACACCCCAAAGGTGTTGGTATTCGCAAGGCTTTGGAACCAGTCCTGGTTGCAAAGTACTTGAAGTCTGTTGTTGATCCAGGTGAGGCAGTCGGGATCGTAGCTGGCCAATCTGTTGGAGAGCCATCGACACAAATGACACTCAACACTTTCCATCTGGCTGGGCATTCGACCAAAAACGTCACCCTGGGTATCCCCCGTCTACGAGAGATTGTAATGACCGCCAGTGCAAATATTTCGACGCCATCAATGACATTGCGACTCAATGAAGAAATAACACCCGAGGGTGGCGAGAAGTTCGCAAAGAGCATCAGTGTTCTGTCACTCGCCGAAGTCTTGGACGAAGCCACAGTCAACGAGCGCATTGGCAAGGGGGTTGCCTACTCTGAAGCAAAAGTCTATGACATTGCCATCAAACTGTTCCCCTCCAATGAGTATACCGAAACATATGCAATCGGTATCCCCGATGTTCTCCATACTCTGGAAAAGAAATTTGCACCGCGACTGCAAGCTCTCACACGGAAAGCACTTGGCCTGAAGAAAGGAGAGAAGGTGGCAAAAACATCTGTTAGCAGCGCTGCAGTACCAGAGATTGGAAAGTCGGTTGGGACGATCGAAGAGGCTCGAGCATCTGTTGAAAGGGAAGCTGGCGACGAGGACGATGATGATGATGGAGATGACGACGCTACTAACGACAAGCAGAGGGCCAACCGCGCGGAGGCCGTGAGCTATGCCGCAAATGATGAGGATGACGACAGGGTGCAAGCACAGATGCAGAAGGAGGCAGAGCCGGAAGAAGACGTGGAAGAAATGGAAGATGAAGGAATTGGCGGCAGTCCCCGCGAACCTGGTAGCGATGACGAAGATGACTCCTCGAGTAAAATAACGGCCAAGCGCCGTGGGAGCGTGGCAGGAGAAAGGGAGGCTCGGGTCATGAAGAATTGTAACGACATTGTCCGCTTCAGTTTTGACGAAGCTTCTGGAGAGTGGTGCAACCTTACTCTCGAGTTCGATGCGAACGTTCCGAAAGTCCTCATGCTTTCCATCGTCGAAGATGCGTTGCGCCAGTCTCTCATTCAACAGATTGCAGACATCGGTTCTTGTACCTACGTTCCCGATGAACAGGTTCAGGATTTAGCAACTGGCAAAACTGTCAAGGTTCCAGTTGTGCACACGACAGGTGTCAATCTCAAGGCAATGCAGAGCTACCCTGATCTCATAAACCCCAACACCATCTCCACCAACGATATTGCGGCCATGCTCAGGAACTATGGCGTGGAGGCCTGTCGTGCAGCCATTATTCAGGAACTGTCGGGTGTTTTCGGAGGTCACGGAATTAGTGTTGATCATAGGCATCTGAATTTGATCGCCGATTTCATGACTAGAGGAGGAGGATTTAGTCCTTTCAACAGGAGTGGGTTGAGGGGCAGTGTCAGTCCGTTCATGAAGATGAGCTTCGAAACAACAGTAGGCTTCCTAGCTGATGCTGTCACTGATGGTGATTGGGACGATCTTTCAAGTCCAAGTTCCAGGATTGTTATTGGGAGGATGAGTAAGGTCGGCACTGGTGCTTTCGATGTGTTGACCCAGGTCCCGACTAGAAAAGGCGATGAGGTTAATGTCTGATGAAGTATATTAGGGAGTTAGGGCGTGTGATAATCCTGGCGTTTGTGGGTGAGGGAAAATGGGTGGTGAAAAGCTTCCTTATTATGTTCCTAGTTATGTAAAGTCAATTTGGCATATCATTCCAATATTACCATTATGTCCAGTTACTTCTCCTGAATTATTTCTTTGTTACCAGGTCGCATGCGTAGTTTCCCCTTTTCTTGTACCTCTCTGGTCTAAGTTCATACTGAAAAAAACTCGTTGCTGGTTCAAACGGGTTCGTTTACTCTCGGCCTCATCTAACGTGTATCTGCATAGGGATGCGGTTGCGGAAATTTGATAGCTTTCCCCAAAGATCCCATCGGAGAACACCTATGATTGAGGATCCGGTGGAGTTTCGGTACGGCATATTGGTGAGTATATTTTGTCATAGGTATCCCGATACACCCATCTTTAACCAAGGCCCTTGAGGCTTGCTTTATCCGCCGAGTTCTAATCTTCAGATGTGGCTGCTCATTAGACTATTGTAAATGTCTCCTGGGAGAAATGATTAGTCGGGAACTTTAATGCCTTCATTCGTTTCTTTACCAAGTCATATTTACATTCTTGCAATATCCAAGGAGAAGGGCCGGTATATATTAAGTTTCCATACGGCTTCTAACCCATAGAGCACAATTATTTGGAATCACGTTAACTAGATATCTTCTATTGGTAGTACTCGATATATATTAATGATTCTAAGGCTTCTATATTCGTTTCTATACTTGAAATAATCCAAACCCTCCTCTTCTCTCCTTCTTGTTATTAGCCGGGCTATGAGAATAATTGTAAGTAATTTTCAAAAACAACACATATAAATTCAATTTTTATTAGTACCGTTAATACATTTTTGCTCGGGCTATATATTAATTTATATCTATTTTATATGAAAAAATATAAGATATTTGCTTTAAATATATACTAACTCCTTTCTAAAACTGCCATGTTTCTTACCAGAAAGCTAGAAACCATAATATGTAAAGTCTGAATATATATTAGAGCTTAATATTCTATTAGCATAATCCAAATTTGTGATGGCTTTTATAGATTCTAAGAGTTTGCTATTTTATCCTTTGATTCCGGTGGACTTCCATGTATAACTTATTATACCTAAAGGAAGTTTCAAGTGAAACCAAGTATTATCCCTAAATGCCTAATTGAAACCCCTAGGTGAGTAAAGACAGCAGTTTAGAATTGTAATGCTATGAATATCAGCGTGAACGGATATCTGCCATCACTGAAAGATCAGGTAAGGGAAGCTAGTTTTACCTGGCGAAGGGAAGTGCCCTCAAGTCATAAGTCACAAATGATAAGAAACTTCACAAGACCGATGAATTAATCGGGCGTTTCCTCTGCCTAGGCTCTCCATAGACTATCGAGGAAGGAAGAGTTCAATTGAAAGCTACGTGGAATCCATAGTACAACTGGATAAATAATCAAGGAAGCAGGCGTCATGTAGGGGGAAGGGCCAAAGAAGTAGCCACGTCTGCGCATGGGTGCTAAGGCCTGGATCACAGACTTTAAATAGATTGATTTCTTTCTCTCCCCCTCTCCCCTGCCTTCTTCATCCCCCATCCCCCACCCCCCAGGCTGGGGGTGAGGATGGGGACACGCACTGATTAACATACTTTTTGAATTATCTTTATTACATAAGGTTTAAGCAGGAAAGAGGTATTCGAGCGACAGGAAATACGATACAGGGATACTTTCGCTGGATTCTAGGCACCTGCGAGATCGCCGACAAACTAGGTATGCAGAACGGCTGGCTTGAAAGAATGTGACTGATCCTTTCTACGAACAGGTGGCGATGAATAGAGAAGAATTCCTTCCCTCCTACAAGCAAGACCAGCGTTCAGCAACTGCCACCCCTGACCACCACGGACAGGTGTTTGGAACTCGTCAGCACTGGAACTAACAAGGTCACCGAACTAGGAAATGCCGACCAAAACAAGAGACGCGTCAAGGTTGGAGCAATGTTCACAGGCAAATTCGAGCAACAAGGGAGCAGTATGTTCAAATCATCATGTTTGGTGGATTGATTATCTCATGGGCACTATCAACCATGCCGTAAACCCCCCATATTCCGTATGATACAATAAACACCGTAATCAGCAAGTGAAACCCATCCCAAAGCACCCGTCTTCCAGCCCCCAAGCCATGGAAGAAATTCATAAGAGACATCGAAGAACCATGAAAACCCAACCCAATCTAACCACCGAAACCGTACAGAGTGCGGCCTTGTCGCTTCAGGGCGTAAACAACGTCGAGAGATGTGACGGTCTTACGCTTGGCGTGTTCTGTGTATGTGACTGCATCGCGAATGACACCCTCAAGGAAGGTCTTGAGAACACCACGGGTCTCTTCGTAGATCACTGTTTGGACGTGTTAGAGACTGTGGGAACGCGTGAAGAGAGCGGGCGTGGAACTTACTAGCTGAGATACGCTTGACACCACCACGGCGCGCGAGACGACGGATCGCAGGCTTTGTGATACCCTGGATGTTGTCACGAAGAATCTTGCGGTGACGCTTGGCTCCACCCTTCCCGAGACCCTTGCCACCTTTTCCGCCTGTAGAGAAGACGCGTCAGTACAGTGTTATGGGGGTGGAAGACGCGACCGAAGTCGAGATGGAGGGGCGGGAGGGCAGCAATGAGAAGGGAAGTAGAGGGAATACTCACGTCCAGTCATGATGAAGAGTTGTTAGAGATGGGAGATGTGTGTTTGGGGTTCGACGTGATGATGTCGAGAAGTGGTGGAGATGATGAATGGATGTTGGTGGATTGGGAGTTGTAAGAACGATGGAGGGGATGAGGCTATTTGACTGAGCGAGGCGCGTTCGCTGCTTCTGCAATCACGAGCTAAGGGCTGGCGCTAGTCCCGAAGGGAGGGAAGCGACCACAACAAACGCGGGGCTTGCTGATTGGTCGAGGGGAGTGGCGAGTTTTCGGTGGGGTGCACTGCCTGCGCTTGATGCAATCTGGGGAAAGCAAAGTTTCATTGTCCAAACAAGATACAGACATAGAGTTATCGTCACTTGTAGAATGATATGGAACGAATTAATGAACAATCGACTACGAGAATCTATAGAATTAATGAGTCATAAAAGAAATGCTGCTGCCTTCAAAGCTGTCATACAATCAATCCTTCATGTTGATGTTCTCTTTCTTCGCTTAGCCAAACATGCAAGTCAAATGCTGGTTGCTGATTGGTCGGCAAGAGCTTTGAAGTTGCGAGCTCCAAAAGTCGCTGGATTTGCAAGTCGGAAAGCGCATCCCCCCACTAGCGCAATCACAACCAGATCACTCGTTAGCGTCTTCTGCACTACAAATAATCCATCCTCCCACTTCTCAGACTTTCCCTTCTCCATCCACTCAACAACATCATCGACAACCCACCACTCAACCACACTCAATAAACCCTTTTCCATCAAAACATCTTGAATCATCATCAACAATGGCTCGTACCAAGCAAACCGCCCGGTAAGCATTTATTCCTCATCATCATGCACCTCATCGCGCCGTCGTGATCGTCGTCGTCGAAGATTGCGACCGTGGTCGTTGCTGCGTTTCAGCCTCAACTTCGACGCGTCTCGACCCCTCCAGCACAACATGTCCATCGATCCAAAGCTAACGTACAACAGTAAATCCACTGGAGGCAAGGCCCCTCGTAAGCAACTTGCTTCCAAGGCTGCTCGCAAGTCTGCACCATCCACCGGAGGTGTCAAGAAGCCCCACAGATACAAGCCAGGTCAGTCTCGACATCGCGTCGCGTCATCTCATCCACCCTTCTAACATTTTCACAGGAACCGTCGCTCTTCGTGAGATCCGTCGTTACCAGAAGTCCACAGAGCTCCTGATCCGAAAGCTCCCCTTCCAACGTCTCGTCCGTGAAATCGCCCAGGACTTCAAGTCTGACCTCCGATTCCAATCTTCCGCCATCGGTGCTCTTCAGGAGTCCGTTGAGGCTTACCTCGTCTCCCTCTTTGAGGATACCAACCTTTGCGCTATCCACGCCAAGCGTGTCACCATTCAATCCAAGGACATCCAGCTTGCGTAAGTCATGCCCTTCGCGCACACTCTTGTATGGCATCAACTAACATCAATCAGTCGTCGTCTTCGCGGAGAGCGATCGTAGATTTCTGGGCGCGTCTGAATCTTTTCGATACCTTGGCATGTAATCTTCTCGGCCTTGTTCACCGGCCCTTGTGGCGCGCTGAACTTGGAATGTTGATCGCGTGGGGGCATTTGAATGGAACATAATGGTATGGGATTGGGTCTTCACGGTTACGGCATGGAGTTATTCGCCACTGGGATTTGCTTTTTACAAGGTGTACATTACTTAGGCAGTGGCAGTGCACTGACCAAATACGAGACACGCATGAACTATTTCAAATAACCCTCTTGACCATGATTCTCCTGTGATTTCCCCTTCGTCTCTTGAAAGCATTGTTTTGATTGGAACGCGGTGGCCTGTGCTTGTCCTCACTTTCCACTGACGCATGGCATTTGCCGATCTTTGACGACCGGTTTCCACTGCTTCCTTTCACTTCTGGATTCAAACCTCGGCGTAGAGAACCGCGTAATATCTCGTCCCTTGCATTAAATATAGGGAGCCACGACCATTTATCTGTATAAGGTGTTCCCTACGAACCTGTAAACAAGCCCAAGCTTGTCCTAAGAAGTGAGACTATGGTTTATACACTCCTAGAGCTAAGGGCGGAGACTTCACACCTGTACGCAGTGCCCTCTATGAACCTGTAGATGAGATTTGTGTTCTCTATAGTCCCTCTTAGGACACCTGCGTTATGGTTTAATACATGTGCCTCCCTAGCTGCTTATTCTAAGAAGTAATATTTATACTATCGCTTTATAATATGCTTCTAGAGCTGTTACGAATATGATATGTAACCAAAGGACCTTAGGCTTAACGTCTGCTTAAGTAGACGTAGTAGAACCCTTAGAGGGATTACAGTTTCCTTATATCCTAAGAGGTCGCATGAGAGGCCTAGCGGCCGGTAAAGCAAGGCGGGCAAAAGACGAATTCTCACCTGTATGCGAGGCCTGCTAGGAACCTAGAGTTGTAATACTACTCTAGAGCCGACAAGAATCGCATTGGAGGCGGTGGAAGAGGGCATTATTGTCACGGGTGAGTCACGTATACATAGAGGCTTAATATGGTATTTAATAAGTTTAATAAAAGAGAGAGAAGAATCTTCATCTAGATCTAAAGAAAAGTAAGCGCTTCCTAGTTAAGGCTTAGTAAGCTAAGTATAGGTATAGCCTATGCTTTACTTCTAGGGCTTGCCTCTTATATTACCTCCCTCTCTCTACTTATTTATAAGTAGTAAATAATCTATTAGAAACTAAATAATATAGTAGAAACTATAGTAGTAAATAATCCTAATCTATAGATATTATACTACTATTCCTCTTATAAACTACCTAGGCTCTACTAGATTTTAGATATAATCTATCTACTTAGTAAAGCTCTCCTACTTCTTACTTTTACTATTATCTCTATTTAGTTATACTATTTACTCTATAGTATTATAAATCTATATAGTATTATAAATCTGTAAATAATAAAGTAAATAGTTATTAATAAGTAAGTATAAGATCTCTTTTTCTACTTATTTTTAAACTTTTCTTTCTCTATTACTAATACTATTAAAGTAAGTATAATATACTATATAGAGTGCTTAAGTGCTTAAGTGCTTAAGTGCTTAAGATACCTTCTACCTCTTTTATATAGACTCTATATAATACTAATTAGAGTTAAATATCTAATATTATCTATTATATTAGCTATACTCTTTTAAGAATTAATTATATTAACTAAAATATAAGTTAGATTCTAATTAGTTTCTATTAGGTTCTACTAATTCTCTATAGTCTAACTAGTTCTATTCTTATGCTAAGTGCATCTATAAGTATAAAAACTATAAGAACCTATATATATTTATTAGACTCTAATTAAAAATTATTATTAACTAATTAGCTCTTAAATTACTTATATTATATATACTATTTAGTTCTGCTCTCTTAATAATAAAGTATAGGTTTAGTTAATTCCTGCTACTTTTTAGTTAGCTAATACTTAAAATAGTATAGATATCTATAATAATCTCGCTAAAGTCCTTAAGGCCTAGAAGGCTTTAAAGCTATTATAGGCAGCTAGCTTCCTCTTTATATATATCTACTAGACTCTACTTATTTTTTATTACTAACTACTAGTTTCTAGTCCTATTACCCTTAAGATTACTAGTATAGTAACTAATATAGTTATCTAATAGAGTTAAATATAAGTTATACTCTACTCTCTAATTATTTTCTATTAGTAACTATTTATTAGTACTAGTAGTATTTCTATAGTAGTAGTTCTTAGGCTATATTATACTAATTCCTAATTATAGAGTTTTTTATATAGTCCTCTAGCATTTTATAGCAGTTTATAAGCCTATTCCTATTTCTCTTTCTTTTTTTTTTTCTTTAAATAGTAAATAAAATTTATTATACTTCTAATTATTCTAATTCCACTTCTTAATACCTATACTCTATATAAAATTAGACTTTAGCTATTTTTATACCCTTCCTTTTTTTTTATTAACTTTTCTTATAATACTTAAGATCTATTATAGGTTTTAGGATCTCTATATTTAACTTTAAACTTATCTATAGTAGTATTATCTAATAAATTTTTTAAGGGTTCTTATATTAGTTTATAATATCCTAACTATTTTACTAGTACTTCTCTAACTTTCTTTTTCCTTTTTACTTTATCTTAAATATATAGAATCTCCTTTATCTATTACTTTTTATATATCTTAAATAACTTAGACTCTAGTTATTTATTATTAGTTTCTTACCTAGAAAGAGAATTATAGCTTACTAGATATAATAGATCTATATAAAAAACTAGGATGAATATTATTAGA